GTGTGTGTGTGTGTGTGTGTGCATGGAATGGACGGTCAGACATTGTGTAACAGTCATACTATATTTTGATTAGGTGGCATATTGTAATAACTGAGAATAGCAAAACAACAATGTAGTGATGTAATAATATTGTATAGTTCTGGAATAATAAATAACTATAATAACAACACTGTATTGATTGGGAGGTGCATAGTTGCATAATTATCAATAACATTTTTCTTTCGGTATAGTTTTAGCTAGAGTTTTACGGCACTTGCAATACAACCAGGTCATATAAAAGGTGCTGAAGATAAGAATTCTTACCACAGATTAATAAATATACAAAGAAAAGACGGAGAGGAGATAGGGACGATAGACGTTTGATAGCAAAGAAGAAGCAAACCACACCAGAGAGAGCACCCATGAACCACTCACATTAAAACCCTGCATTGTGAATGTTAAATAGTATATCGTTGTGTAATAATAATACTGTACGATGTTTGTGTGGTGTATTGTACATTTATAATAATAATTATGTGCTGTTATCAAAATAGTATACGTGGGTGGTGGGTGGTTAGCCGTTTCTCTACTGTGGTTTGCTCCTTCTTTCCTGTCCAACATCCATCATTCTTGTATTAATTTTGTATCTCCTACTTTTCTTCGTATGTTACTCTCTCTAGCAACACCTCTCATCTTTGACACTTAAAATAACCTAATTGTGTTGCAAGTGCCGTAAAACTCTTACTGTTTCACTAAATAGTGTATAATAATTAGTATAGCAGTGTAATTTTAACACTGGAATGTGTTTGTTTGATGCGTTGTATATTATAGAATAATAATATGTATAATAATAATAACAAAGTGTTGTCATTAAATAATACACAGCTATGTAGCAATAACAACACAGCATTGTGACTGGGTGGCGTGTTGCACGACATGTATTATTGTAATAATAACAACAACAACAACAACAACGATGTGTTGCCATTAACAAATAGTACACAGGTACGTGGAAATAACAACACTGTATTATTATGACTAGGTGCTGTGTTCTTGGCGCTGAAAAGTCTGTGCGTTGCTTGAAAGGAGGCCGGACGGTAAGAAGCAACAGCAAAGCTGCTCGCTGATTGGACGATGGGTAGAGGGGTGGATAAAAATCTGGTTTTTGATTGGCTGAAGCGCGATCCAGTGGGAGGAGTCTCTGTCCGCTTTGCGAAAGCCCATCTCGGCAGGCGCATGCGCGGGGCTAGCACAGCTCTGGACACGGTAAATTGTCCGTCCCATAGGTCTCTTGCAGTGAGTACCACTGGCCGAAACCCATGGCTGCAAGGTGCTGGCCTGTAGAGAGAGAGACGTGGGGGGGGGGGTACAAATCAATAGGTGAGTACATACAAACTTATACACATGGATGAATACACACACACACACACACACACAAACCCATAGATCTCTTGCAGTGATTACCACTGGCCGAAACCCATGGTTGCAAGGTGCTGGCCTGTAGAGAGAGAGGGGGGGTATAGATAGATAGGTGAGTACACACACACACACACACACACACACACGCACTTACAGGTGGGTGAGTACACAAACACACACACACACACACACACACACACAGGTCTCTTGCAGTGAATACCAAAGGCCGAAACCCATGGCTGCAAG